ATCAGAGGTGACCATTCTAGCTGGGAGCAGAGCCCTAATGTCCTGCTTCAGCCCAGCTTCTGCCCACTCCAGCCCGGAGCCCTCCAAGTGGACACTTTCTTTTTCCTCCAGCCTTCTTAGGGGTGGGGAGTCCTTAGTCCTCTCCCCACTTGGTTCTTCAGATCAAATCTCACCTTGCCTGCTCAGTTGGAGGGTGCTCCATAGTCCCTACAGATGCTCCCAACAGGACACACAAGCACAATTTGACCAGCATCATCGCCCACATCAGGGCCTGCCTGCTCCATCTGACCCAAACCCGTGAAGACTGTGTGAAGGTTGAACACTTCTCCTTCCTTCCTGACTCCAGGTGGTGTCCTGAGCTTAGACCACTCACCACTGGGCATAGATCCAGAGGTCCACGGTTCTACTCAGTCAGTCCACCTTAATACAAAGCAGGCCATTCTTGGAGCCATTGCTCCCAGGATTCTCCTTATCAAATTCAGAATTGATGTACATAGGCGTGCTGGCCAAGAAAGAAAATGAATTCACAAAACAATGTAATTTTAAGTAGTATTTATGGCTATTTTCTGATCCATAATCATTATTAAGATTTTTTTAAATATAGAGAAGTTTAAAGGAGAAAATTAAAATCACCCATAATCCTATTACCAAGAGATCAGCACATACTGGGGACTTCCGCTCCTTTCTCTCTTACTGTTTCAGTCTCTCCTTCCCGCTGTCTCTGGTTCTCCATGTGTGCACATACATACAAGGGTCAGTCAAAAAGTATTGCTATAAGACCCTAGACCCTTTATTAAACAAAAATGTCCAGATATGAAGCTATTGTTTCTTCAACATATCCTCCATCTAGCTCTGTACATTTCTAAAGGCAATGTTTCCGTGTCTCAAACCCTGAGTAATTCTGCATTCTTAGATTTAACATCCTGTCAAAATAGCAGTTTTGGCATCCTTGAGGGACTCAAATTGTGTTCCTTTTAAAGATTCTGTAAGTTTGGGGGACAAAAAGGCATCTAAAGGGGCAAGATTAGAACTGGCAGGTGGATGGGGTAAAGTTTCCCAGTGAAATGCTTAAAGGACAGCCCCTTGCTACACACCAAGAATGAGCAATTGCATTGTCAAGACAGAAAAAATTCCTCAACACCCCTTTCCTGGTCTTTCTCTTACCATTGCAATTTCCCATTTTCTTAAAACTTCTTCCTAATATAAAGTCTCATGCTCGTCCTGGATCCTTTGAGAAAATCTATCAAGATCATTCCTTTGCAGTCCCCAAAGACAGTCACCATAACCTTCTGAGCTGACCTCTCTGCTGCCTTGAATTTCACTGACCCAGCAGGTCTCCTCAGAAGCCACTGATCTGAGTGGACCTTTTTGTTTTGTTTTTTTTTTTTTTGAAGGCACCATAATGAGACTAAGACAAGTGGACTACTGAGAGAACATGTCTGCAGCCACCCACTGATCACAGAGACATGTTTAGACATGTTTTGTTTGTATAAAACATGTTTGTTTACATGTAAGAACTGGAAGCCTAGTAGCAGTGCTTTTTGACTAGTATGTTGTTGTTGTTGTTGTTGTTGTTGTTAAGTGCCATCGAGTCGATTCCAACCCATAGCAACCCTGTATGGGTTTCCAAGGAGCCACTGGTGACTTTGAACCACCAACCTTGCAGTTCAAATGGCTGTGCAGTCTGGTGCATTAACTCACAGTGCCACACCAGGACTCCATATATATCCATGTAAACAGACATTGTACTGATTTTAGAGTTTGCTAAGCTCTTTGTAGTTAATATTGTATCGGAACCATTTCTTACCTCACTAAATGTTTTTCGCAATTCTCTTCTCTTCCAATTGCTGAGTATATGGATGTTACCTCCTACTGAAAGAAGCTCTGGTAGTGTAGTGGTTACAAGTTGGGCTGCTAACCTCAAAGTCAGCAGTTCGAATCTACCAGCTGTTCTATGGGAGAAAGTATAGGCTTTCTGCTCCCACTAACTCCATAGCACACCATCACCACCTCCTATTGAAGGCACCCTCCTCCTATACCTCCATTGTCTACTGCCTGTTTTCTTTAAGACTATAAATATGGGTCTCGTTTGACTCTGAATCCCCTGCAACACAGCCCAGCACCCTGCTCTGTGTCACAAACCATTCCAAAACAAAGTGAAACAAGCCATTCCAAAAACAAAGACAAGCCAGTAGTGACTGTGAGTCTGAACTCACAGCCTCCCCATGTGTCAGAGTAAAGCAACACTCCAAAGGGTTCTCAGTGGCTGACTTTTGGGAAGTAGATCTTCAGACCTTTCTTCCAAGGTACCCCTGGATAAATAAACTTAAACCTCAGTCTTTCCCTCATTGCACCACCCAGGGACCCCAAGTGAAGCAAAGCCCTGTAAACCCCGATGTGCATGCGGCACATCCTCTCCTCCCTCGGGTTCCTCCAACTGCTGGGCTGCCTTTTCTGCTCCTGGAAATTGTTTTTATCCTTTTCCAGCAGGAAATCCTAACATGAGAATCTGATTTCTCTTGTTCATTCCTGTCTCCCACTGCTCCCAAAATCCTTCCCACAGAGCCCAGCTGGTATGAATCTATGGGATTCCTTAGAAAGCCCAGGAGGCCTGGGCCAACTTTAGTGAAGCTGCAGGCAGGGACCTCAGCATGAGTGGCCTGGAGTCTGCAGGTGGGGGAAGTTAAGGCAGACGTGGTCCATGGAGTCATTATGTTCGCATTAAGTAGTACCTGAGGCAGGAAAGTTAGAATCTCTTTATCTGCAGGACACCATATTTTACCTCATTGACTCTCCAAGTGATAGATAGACCTAGATAAGTAATATTTAACCCAGGGTCCTCCTAAGTTTTAATTAAATTGTATTTTTATAAGGAAAATTTTCCCCAGTTCCTGTTGTAAAATGTGGGCCTTTTCACCTAATTTCCCAGAGAGACCCTACTGCCCCTTTTGGGGGTTATCTGAGACTGCAGATCAGGCCCGGCCACCAGAGGGCAGCCTCCAGCAGACAGGACAGGCCGTCCTCTGAGCTGAGCAGTGTCACAACCACCTGTACCCTAGAGATCATGCTGTTGTTGTGAAGTGCCGTCAAGTCTGTTCTGACTCATAGCAACCGTGTCTAGGGTTCCCAAGGAGCAGCTGGTGGGTTTGAACTGCCGACCTTGTGGTTAGCAGTCTAATGCTGATCCTACAGCACCACACCAAGACTCCAGATAGCACAGATTTCTGTATTTTTGGGTAAATGTTGCCCTTTTGATCTCAAAGAGTTGATTATTCCAAGGTGGGTGTACCTCCCTACTATTACTGTTCACCTGACAAACCATTCCAGATAGACCTGTCTATTGTTTGGCTGAAAATTGGGCCACAGGGGCAAGTTCAATTCCAGGCCTGAAGGATGACCAAGGGGCGTAGTGTCCAGGCTCTACCAATCTCTATCCAACTACTAAATTGTCTTTTTTTTTTTTTTTTTTATGATTTTCAGTTTTGTTTCACCTTTTCTTCCACTCGATCCAGGACCTTTTAATGTGATTCCTTTCAGAGTATTTGGTAGTGGTGACTGGCACCATCTGGTTTTTCTGATCTCAGGGTCATAGAAGCTGAGATCCATGTGGTCCATTAGTGCTTTGGACTCATTATTTCCATGTCTTTGATTTTCTTTACTCTGCTTTGTTTGGACAGGGAAAGACCGATTTGTGGTACCTTTGATGACCACTCACAAGCTTTAAGACCCCAGTCACTACTCACCAAAGTTTGATGTAGAATATTGTCTTTGTGAACTTTGTCATGCCACCTGACCTTGATGTCTCCTGAGACTATGGTCCTGAGCCTGCAGGCTCAGCTACTCACTGAAGGAAATGTGTCTTGAGGAACGGGTACCTTTCCCCAATTCACACGAAGGCCCCAGAAGGGTTAACATGGGATGCCCCTAGGTCAGTTTTTACACTCTGTCCCCTCAGCTGCCAGAAAGAAGATAGGACAGCTGAGGAGAAATGACTCTCAAATGGAGACCCTGAGCCTCTGGACACCCTAGGCTGCTTGGAGTGGACCGCATTTGAGGCCTGTGACCTTTCCAAGGGTTTGGCTGTGGCTTTGGGGCTGTGTCCAGAGTTCAGATCTGGGCCTCAGGGTTATAGCTACAAGCACCAGTTTCTATGTAATCCCAAGAGGTGACTCATGGTTCCTCCCACTGTCTAGACACCCAGAAAGCGGTGTCCCTTATGAGTGAACAGTGAGGGGATCCACTTCCAAGGGAGCCCTAAAAGTCAGCTTGTCTGCTCAGCATTTCCACTTCCTGCAGAACAGCTACAGGGGACACCCAAGGCAGACAGAGAATGACCTTAATGCCCTCAGGGCCCTGGCATCAGGTTTACAGAGTACAGACCCAAGTGATCCTGATATGGGATGGAGACCTTGATTTGCCTGCCCCTGGGTCCAGGCAAACACAACCCCTCTTTCTGTTTCCAGACTACCCTTGAGCAGTCCAAACATAAAGCAAGAAGATTTTTTCTGGCCCCTAATGTCCAGCACTCCTCTGATACCCACCCAGGTCACCTAGTCATAAATTCTCAGTCACATACTCACAGATTTACACCGCGCTCGTTCCTCCAATGACTTCGCAGCCCTATGTGCAGATTGTGTTCCAAGAACATCATGACTTCCCCACTTCCCCTAATCTTGAAGTGTTCCTCACTGCGGAACCCCATTTTCCTTCTGAATAGTGATTCACAGGCAAACTCTGGGGAGAAACATTTCAGAAATGAGTTGTAAGTCTCAAGGTGGGAGGGACCTCAGGGACTGCAGCCATCCCTCAGTGTGGCCCCCAGTCACTGGGGATAAAAACCTTCAAGGCTGTCTATGTGCTAGTGTGTGAAAGGTCGGAAGGAAAGACACAGACACTGACATCTGAAAGACATCAATCATGCCTGAGGCCTGGGGCCACACAGAGTCCTGTAAGGCCCACCTCAGTGGAACAACCTCTCAGGCCCCCTGTCTTGCCCCCAGGATCGCTGGTGTGCAGTGCATGACAGTGGCTGGCTACTCCAAGGGCTTTGGCTACCAAACGGGACAGAGCTTCTCAGGGGAATTCGACCACGCCTGGAATGCTGTGTACCTGGAGGGACAATGGCACCTGGTGGACAGCACCTGGGGCAGTGGCATGGTGGACAAGACTACTTCCAAATTCACCTTCCTGTAAGTACCTGACTCAATTCTGCTGGCCGTATGGTTAGTGGAAATGGGGAATGTTCAAAGCTGAAGGAGGGAACAGGTAGGAAAGAACTGGGGAGAGAGAGGTAGAGCCTGGTTGACCCCGACCTGGCTGTTAGTTCACCCCCTTACAGATAGACCAAGTCCACAGGCTTATGGGGGACCCATAGATTTTTTCCACCTCATTTTCCCCGACCTCAATTCCTCTGCCTCCCTATAGCTTCGGTTGTCTGCAGTTCCCTTCCCGCCTTTAGCCCTTTGACTGTTATTACTGTGTATCCGCTGGCTGCCTCACCTCAGTGGTCCTCCTCTCTGAGCTCAATGAGGCCCCATCACATCTCTGAGAAAGGGGCGATGGCTTTGTGGGGAGAGTGCTATCCTGGGACAGAGTCCCTGTGAGCCATACTGGGGCAGGGTGTTAGTGGAGAGAGGGGAGCAAGGGGGTTTGCCAAGCCTGCTGGGCCACTTCTGTCCTCTGACCACCCCTGCCTTGAAGTAAGGTCATAGCCTTCATCTAAGGTCACTTAAACCTGGACCACAGTGTCCATCTGCTGCTCAGATTCCTTTGTATTCAGAAAAAAATTAGTGTTTCCCATAATTTTAAAATCTTGGAGTTGAAACCTTAACACTCCCCAACACACATCAAATACATGCCCAGTGTGTGGGGTCATAGAGCTCATGCTGGTCCCACAGACTCACAGATACGCTTCTGCCCTGCCGTGAGCTCTGAACACCGATTGCCTTTGGCCCAGTGAGGCATCACACCATCTCAGAACAAGACTCCTATTCTTGCTCTTGCCCTTCAGGGAGCCACTGAAGGCCTCTCAACTGCAAGGCACAGACTGTGATAGAAGTTGCTGCCAGGCAGGGAGGTGTGGATGGAGGAAGTGGACTCTACAGCTTTTCCTCCCTGCAGTCTCACAAGTCCACTGTCTGACACCTGGTCTCCAGGTTACCCCTTTGCTCCTTTTACATTTCTGTTTGGCTTTGAAAGGAGGGAGAACTTTCTCCATCAGACCCCTTAGGATGTTCAGAGTGACCCACAGTTGTGGGCTATGGTTTTCTCTTAGAAGTGACCTCAGACCTTGCCTTGGCACCTATCTCTGGAAGCATCCATCAAAGACCAGAAGTGGTACCTCTTCCTGCTGGAAGTGTAGGGAGAACCTCCAGGTGTGTTAGCCAAATGGAGGTCCCCTACAGAACACCTTCTGCAGAGTTGGTGAGGGTTGGTCAGACCTGCTCTCTGTAGCAGCTGCTTACCCCATATGGCTACTCACCAGCATTTCCCCCACTCTAGTTACAATGAATTCTACTTCCTCACACACCCTGCACTGTTCATCGAGGACCATTTCCCAGACAACAAGAACTGGCAACTGCTAAAACCTCCTCAATCTCTGAGGCAGTTCGAGAACAGCATGTATCACAAGAGTGAATTCTACAACAAGGGGATGCTGAGTGCCCATCCAGAGACCTCCACAATCAGAACAGGTAAACCTGGAACAGGCAGCTGGAGTGGGCAGCAGGGATGTGCAGCCTGGTCCTGTCTGGAGGAGTCTGGGCCACACAGGACTGCCCTCAGGGCCCCAGGCATGACCTGTGAGCACAGTGGCAGGCCTGTATGTGTGGGTGGGTTGCAGACCACTAGAGCAGCAAGGCATGATGCAGGCACAGGTCCCATTTGTAGAAGCAGATGCCAGTCACTCCAGCAGAAGCCAAGAAGGGATGTGTTGGGTGGCCACAAGTTTGCCTCATGCCTGAGGGCTGGACATACAGGCTGACCTGTGATGGGGGCTAGGATGGGTGGTGGGTCACAGCTCATCAAGCAAAGAAAAGGACTGGTTCAGCTCTGGCTTCCCATGCCCTCCCAGTTCAAGTACCCAACAAGCTGACAAACCAAACTCTTGGCAGAGAGACTGCATTGGCCAATGAGCAAGTACCTGTGCATTAATGATCTAACCAGTTGGTCGAGGAAGGCATGGGCCTCCCAGGATGAGGAAGGCTAGGGGAGGCTTCTGAGGGAGGTGTCTGCTGAGCCTTGTCCTGGGAGATGGAGAGGTACAGGCAGAGAGAACAGAGGAGGGGAGACACCGCAGGAACCCCTACCTCCAGGCCTCAGCATCCCTAGTCAGGCCTCCACGGTGCCCCTCCCGAACTGCCTTGGAGAAGAGCCTTGCAGGTTCAGATGGGATACCTTTCATCTGTCAGTCTTCCTGGACCCTCCTCCCTGCTTCCCTACTGAAGACAGAGTCTAGCTTTTCCTAGGGAGCTTCACTGGTGCTGAGCAAGGCAGAACAGGTTTAGCTGGCCCCCATGTTGTTAAGTGCCATCGAGTTGGTTCTGACCCATAGTGATCCTGAACAGGGTTTCTGAGGCTGTAAATCTTTACGGGAGCAGAAAGCCTCATCTTTCTCCCAAAGAGCAGCTGGTAGTTTCGAACTACTGACCTTGCGGTTCGCAGCCTGATTCGTAACCACTACGCTACCAGAGCTCCTGGCCCTCATGGCTGGCCCCAATTCCACCTCCCCATTGGAGTCTTCCATGGGCATATTCTGAGACATATGGAGGGGAGCATCCCCAAAGGCCCAGCACCATGGGTCTCACAATGCTTTCTCCAGAGAACTGTGCTTTATGCATCCCCAGAGCCTCGATGCGTGAGCATGCCACAGAGCACTCTCCCACACCTCAGCCAAGTACTGCCTGTCTGTACCATCTCTGCCACCAGGGGGCCTCCATACATCCAGGACAGAGGCCATTAGCACAGAGGACCTGTGAAAGCCCCACCCTACAGCATGGAGTAAGGGGGCAGCCAGGGAGCCAGTTAGTTCCAGTGAACATGGCCCATTCACCTCACAGTGGTTTCCTTAACCAAGTTGCTAAGCTCTCACATACTTTTAAAACCACAAATACCTGGCAGCTCCTGCTGCTAAAATAACAGCCTGAGGTTGCACCCTTTGAGAATCCTTTCACTGCATGCACATCAGATAGAGAACCTGCTTTGTCTGTTGTAGACCATCAGCCACAGCAGAATCACCAGACCACACCTACATAAAACAAATGCCATTGAATTGAGTTGGCATCTTCAAGAGATAAACATGCTAATTTTTGTCAGATTTCTTAATTTATTTTGTTGTTTGTTGTTTTCGTGCCATTAAGTCAGTTCCAGCTCATAGCAACTCTGTATGGGATTGCCAAGGAGCGACTGGTGACTTTGAACCACCAATCTTGCAGTTGAAACTGACCTTGCTGTCCAGTGCTTATCCTATAGCACCACACCAGGCCTCTTAATTCATTTTGTTGTTGTTGCTGTGTGCCACCAGGATGTTGTTGTTAAGTGCCTTGGAGTCAGTTCCAACTCATAGCGACCCTGTATAGGGTGTCTGAGGAGCAGCTGGTAATCTTGAACTGCTGATATTGTGATTCAAAAAAACTGACCTTGCAGTCCAGTGCATTAACCCACAGCACCACACCAAGACGCTAATGGTAGCATAAAATTTGATTCCATATTTGTAATATGTATTCAAAGGATATTTAATTATTTGTAGCTAAATAGGCTAAGGGTGGGTCTGGGGAAGAAGCGAAAAAGGGAAACTGAAATGGGCAAAAGGACAGAGAAGGAAGAAGACACAGAGTAGGGAAGTAGGGAGCCAAGGAGGCCGGGAAAGAGAGGAGCTCATAGGGACCCTACAGGGGATACCGAGTGGTCACCAGTCCTGGTCATTCACAACACGCCTTTGCCAAGAACCTTCTAGGCCAGCTACCATGGCCAGGCATTAAGGACAAGGCAAGAAAAGAGACTGACTGAGCCCAGTCCCCTAGAGCCCCCAGCTCAGCAGGGAAGACAGACAAGACACAAAAAGACATCATTAACATCACAACCAAGACAAGTCCCTGTGGAGAAGAGACCCAGGGGCTAGGAGAGGGGCTCCCAGCACGCTCTAGCTCTTCTGAGAAGATTGTGAAAGGCCCCTCTGTAGTCAGAAGTTGTAAGTTGGAGTCTTACCTAGGGCTGCAGGGAAGACATGGGGAGGGGAAAGCATTAGAAAAAGAGGAAACAAAGTGTGTGAGGGGCCGAGGCATGGAAAGTGAGGCCATTCTGGGACTGCAAGAATGAAGGCACTCACTGATGCTGGCACAGAACCCGCCTCAATTTGGTCTCCAGTTTGCTGGGAGCCATGAATGGCCGCAAGCACAGAAGTGACCCTATGGGCCTTTTCACAGGAGTCCTCAGGCTGTTGTGTGCAGGTGCTAGCTGAGGATCCAAGCCCCAATATGAGTCATACAGAAATTCAGACCTCACTGTAGAAGGGAGACCTACTCACAGTCAATGCTGGTGCAAGATGGATCAGGACAGGGACGGTGAGGAGTCCAGGGGCTGAGTTAGAAGAGAAAAGTCCCAGCCAGGAGGGAAATACAGACCCTGTTATTCTCTGTCACTTGCTTTGTTACCATGGGACAGATGTGCTTCAAAGTGGCTGATGGCAGTGGAGGATGTAGACAAAGGAAACAGCACTAAAGCAGGACAAACCCCTACAACTAGTGTAACAGACAGGAGAGGAGTGGCAGTGGAAATGGGACAGTGTGCTCAGAGAGGTGGGGGAGCAGGCTGGGTGCACCAGCCCCAGAGGACTCCCAGGAGGGAGTCACCAGCACAGCAGCATCTCCAAGGTCTGAGAGACCTGTTTCTTAGGAAATCACTGAAGACGCTGGTGAGTAGGGGCAGATGTCATATTTCAGAGAGCTACCAGGTGAAATGAGTCCTTGGGTAGTGTAAATGGTTAATGCACTCGTCTGCCAAAAGGTTGGAGGTTCAAGTCCACCCAGAGTTGCCTGCAAAGAAAGTCCTGGCAATCTGATGAAAGTCCTATAGAGTTGAACTCTGACACACATGGGGTGGATATGAGTCAGAATAGACTCATATCTGGATTTTTTGTCATTCTTGGTTAAGAAGATCTAGAGACAGTAGGGAGGGTTCACTCACTTGAGTTGTTATAAAGTACCATCGAGTCGGTTCCAAATCATAGCGATCCCCCTGTACCAGGTTTCCAAGCTGCAGCTGGTGGATTTAAACAGCTGACCTTGTAGTTCACAGTTGAGTGTTGTGAGAATATAAAGTGAGTGATGAGTTGGCAGGAAAGCCTTTGAGATGAAGGCTCCCTATGAAGAAGGTAGATGGGAGAGGGTCGATACAAGTTCCCATCCCTGCCCTGCAGACCAAGTGTGGGGATTCTCTGTGCCTCAAGCTAAGAGTTGGCATTAAGAGAAGTAGCCTAACAGCTTGCAGTCATAGGCGTCATGGCAGACTAGAAAGAAATCCTCAGGGACTGGGCCCTGGAGTCCAGGCATGACTCAGTCTCCCCAGCAGGACCAGATGGTTGGCTCCTTCCGTTGCACTCACCCTTGTAAGAGGCTGGGGAGACTGGGTGGGATCTGCTTCTGAGGGAAATGCAAGGAGAAGCCCTCAGGGAAGCCACTTTTCTCCCAGTAATCCTGCAAGGTAGGAAGGAGGGGTCAGGTGCATGAATACTCTTGGACTGCAAAGACCAGAGACCTGACCACCTATCCCTGAGAAACAATGAGGGCAGAAAGAGACAAAAGAGCAGAGCAAGGGGAGAGGCAGAGGAAGCTTTGGTACAAAAGACTCTCCTGTCTGGCCACTGACTCTCCACAGTTCAGTTCCAGAAGCATGGCTAAGACATGCCTGTGTGAGAATTCCAGCACTGGGGGAGGCAGGATAGAGACCCCACTCCCTGAGCACTGTCTGAGCGTGTCAAGCAATTTCTAAAGTAGAGTGTTGGCATGAGCTGTTAACACTACAGTGAACTAGAAGAAGCAGTGTGAACGCAACACGTAAGGAACCCAGATGATAAGCCCTTTGACCCTCTTCCATCAGGGTTTCAGGACCAGGCTTAGCCTACCAGCAGCTTTCTTTTAGTGTGAGTCACTGGGTAGGATGTGTCCGGTTTCCCTTGAGAGCCCCAGCTTCCAGCTTTCTGGAGGAGAACTTCCTAAAGGGAGTCTACATGTGCTGCATTTGTCAGTCACAGTGAAAGGAATTACACCATGGAAATGGGCACACTACCCATCAGGCTTTCAGAAAGACAGGTGAACGTTTACCTGCACTCTTGAACCTGTCTCACCTGGCCCTGGCCTTCTCCCCACAGTGAACGGGAAGGCTGCGATCACCATTGAGAGCTGTGCCCCTACCCTCTTCATGTTTATGCTCAATGGCAAGCAGGAACATGGCCTGCTGAGCCTCAGGAAGAACGGGATGAAGTTGGAGGTGTACCCCCCAACCATGGGCACGCACAAGCTGCAGATCTTCGCCAAAGGCAGCTCTGAGATCTACAGCTCAGTGCTGGAGTACACCCTCAAGTGCAACTATGTGGACTTCGGGGCCCAGCTGCCCACTGAGCTGCACCAGCCTGTGGGGCCCAGTTGGTTCTCGGAGCAGATGGGTATCATGAAACCCTCTCACCCTGACCCCATCATTCACACCAGCGATGGGCGCTGCTCCATCAGCTTTGGCGTGGACGAGGACATCAGCATCCTAGCCTCCCTGCACGGGGACGATGGCTCCATCACTGAGGAGACACAGAGGCGCTACATCTTCCAGCTGCACCGAGAGAAGCGGACAGAGCTGAAAGTCCAGCTGCCCCACGCCGGCAAGTTTGCCCTGAAAATCTTTGTCAAGAAAAGGCAGGAACCTGGCAACTATGTCTTTGTCTTCAATTACCTCCTGTGCTGCACCAACACCAAGGTAAACTGGCCCATGTTCCCCGAGAGCTTTGGCAACTGGGGGCAGGACAATGAGCTGCTGGAGCCTTTGTTGGGTGTACTTCCTGCCAACCGGAATGTCCAGTTCAAATTGAAGCTCCATGGTATTGCAAAGGCCCTAGTGAAAGGGCAGGACACATGGCCCCTCACCCTGAACCACGAGGGCTACTGGGAGGGCAGCTGCAGCACAGCTGGCTGTGAAGAAATCTATGTCATGGTGCTGGAGAATGCCAACCACAACTTCTACTCCTACATCCTCAAATACCAAGTCAACGCCCAGTAAGGGGCTGGGCTCCGGGCCTGGAGCCCCTGCCACACCCTCCCACAGAGCCAAGGCCAGGCCACCCAGGGAGGACCCCAGGGAAGAGGAAGAGCCCTGGACACATCTGAGTCTGCATGAAATCACTTCTAGGCCTCTGCTTTCGTCTCCTGCTCCGCTGCAGGAACTGTGTGTGCTGTTTGTGTTCTGATGGATGCACACAGAAAGTGCACGATGACAGGGGACAGAGACAAAGGCCCTTTAGAAGAAAAGGTGCTATGTAAATCCAAGGTATTGTAAACTGTCTGTCACTGCCCAGGTGCCCCTTCTTGTACAGATGCTGATGCTGCTGTTGTGTTTATTAGGTTGATGTGGGAATGCAGGGATATGACCAGAGCTGAAAGCTTATCACACCATAGAGTGTGAATCTCCCTCTGTGCCCAGAGGGATGGGATTTGCAAGGCCAGGCATCCTTGAGCCATACAGCCCCTTTCAAGTCTCAACAGGGTATTTCTTGACAACTCCTGGACCCCAGGCTACAGTGAGCTGTCATATTTTCCCAGACCTGTCTGTCTTCCCCATTCCCTTTGTCTCTAAAGCCTCTTCTTGGTCTTCAAGAGCCCTAAAAGGTGTGGAGAAGAAGCTCCCAGACTCACCATTGGCTATAGGCTGATCACCTCCCAAAGTAATCCCAGGAGAAGTGTGGAGAGGCTCCAAAGCAAAGAGTACCCAGTGTCCCTTCATGGGGGTCCTGGGTGGGAGCTGGGGGACTGAGGGACTGTGCTCTTTAGAGAAGCAAATAGGGGCTGTCAGTGCTAAGCGAAGGGGAGTCAGGCAGGTGTCCAGCCTTGAGCCTTGCTTCAGCCCCTGCCCTTCAGACAGTCAGGCGTGAGCAGTGCATATGTGGCAGTAACAAAGAGGCTTATGGGATAATGGGGCTTTATCTGCCCCCAAAGAGTCCCTACCAGCAAAAGCTACTGCTAGTGCCACCTCAACCTGCCCTGGGAGCAGTTTTACCCTTGTCCCTGAAGAAAAGTCCTTCATCCCTTTCTCTGTGGAAAGAGACCCCCAGAGTCCCATCCTTCTATGGAAACAGTTCAGGATACCTTGCTTGCTCAGACCTAAGAAGGCCCCACTGCCCAGCTGACCCACAGCAGAGCCTACGGCCAGCGTTGCCATGGAAACAGTGAAAAGGCTGTTTTCAGCAAGGGCAGGGGAGAGAAAGGATGAAGATAGGTTCGCAAGGCCGCTGCAACACCAACCCTGCACCAAGAGACACCTCGGAGTGGTCACTTCTCCGTTTCTCGGCTCGGCTGCCTTTCCTGGAGCCCCTCCCATGCTGTGTGGGCCCCTGATAGTCACATCTGCCACAAAGCAATTCCCCAGGCCCCAGGCAGGAACCCCCCAGAGATTCCATAGCTTCCTCAGAGCCTCCTCCACCCAGTCATCTTCTCCAATCATTGTACAAGACGCTAGCTAGGGTGAGGTGGGCTGCCAGAACAGTCCCAAGCCTGTCGGTACTTTCAGGATCTGCACATAGCAACTCTTCATCCCCTACAGTCCCCCGCTCCCTGGAGCTGGCCCAGAGCCACGCCCCAGAGTGTCCATCCTCTGCCCAGCTTGGGGCAGCAACCCAAAAGGAGCATTCCCCCTGGTGGGCTGAGCTGCCCTGGCCCGTGTCCAGCGCCCTCTGACGACTCCGCCACCCAGGCCCCTGTGCTACACGTCACTCACGCCTGAAAATGCATAAAGGCCGGAGAGGCGGAACCGTGCGCAGCACCACAGGGAAATAGGTGCGATTTTACACCCTCCAAGCAGCCTTTTCTCACGCCTTTGGTTTTTATGGGCTGGAAGAAATGTGCCGTGTTTCATCAAGATAATATGCCTCCCATGACTCCTGTCACTCAATGGACTCAGGGCTTGGGGCCGTTGCAGACATTATCGCTACTGCTGCCGAGAGTGCCACTCGTCTTTCAAACAAACAAAATTAATACATTCTGTAGCGTGCAGAGGACGCCACCCAGCAAAAATAGGAGCTGTCGGAGAACCAGAGACATGCCGCCATCTCAGAGCATCCTCACGCCCCTCCTCCGTGATTTAACCAGGCACCCTCTTTGTAAAGACAGCTGTAGGCACAGTCAGAAAATCACCTGCATTTCTTTCCAGTGAAGTAAAAATACATGAAATAAAATCCAATCTTCATGAATTTTTACACGCATGCTGCTCAGGGTAGACATTCGGGTCTGCATTTTGAAACCTTTTATTTAAATACGATCTTTGTTTGCCAGTCGACGGGTCCACGACGCCAGTGGAATGGCACGGGCGCCCCCTGGTGCCCAAAATGCGACACTGCCGGTCTGCGAACCTCGGTGCGGCCGGACTCACCGGGCTTTTACGCAGAACCTGAAAAATGCTATGGAGTTGTCGATACTAAATTGACTGGCTGCGCTGCCGCACTTCTCAGTGCTTCCTTGTGTGTTCCCCAAGCACATGTTTGTCCCGCTCGAACTGCAAAGGGAGGCTTGGGGGCTGTTTGGCATCATGAGAGGACGTGGAATGTGGTAAGAATTAGATTTTTTGTCCAGGAACACTGGACATGGCTCAATGGGGACAGCTTGGATCACAGTCATTACTATGTCAATGAAGGATTGAAACTGATCAAACTCAGAGCATTTGGCCCTTCTATTCCCCCTTACCCCCAAAGACTAGCAAGTCTAGCTCAGCAGCCTTCACCACCCACAGGGAGAAGACTGTAGAGGGCAAAGGAGATTGAGGGCATGGAGAGAAAGAGGGGTTGCCACCACAACTACAATTCACTTCTTTGCTGCTTGTTTCAGAAATGCCGCCAGCACCCCTAGACTCTGTTTCAATCTGATTATGATCATTTGGAGCCCCCCATATGTTACATTGTACCAACTAGACAAACTCCCCACAGCCTGCTGAGATTAAAAAGGAGATAAATAGATTAATTGAAGCATGAAGGATTTAGACTAGACATAAAGAACTATTTCCTGTTATTAAGAAAAATTTTGTGAAACCTGCTTCATCAAGGACTTAAAAAGTAGAAAAGTGTTCCCTGTGGCCTGGGTTTTGGGATGCTGTGCTAACCGGGACTATTTTCTCTCCAAACCAATTAATCCTCAGCATGCACTGGTTCACCGGCAGCAAACGCAGGGTTAAAGATACTGCCACGTGGCTTGCTGTTGGCAAAGTATTCAGAGGCCATGTGCATCGGTGTCCCCCAAAGTCTTATCTGACTAAGTAGCTGGAAACCTTAAGATGTGATTCCTTTTCACAATGTGTACCTTGAGTTGTGTGGGCCGGTGGCTGTGGAACCGTATGCTTTCCCCCACATTGTTGCTGGTGTTGTTTTTCAATAAAATTTATATTCATTTTTATCCAACAATGTAATTATCGATTCATTCTTATCACTGATCTTGCAAGGAAAGGAGAGGGGGGAAAAGTAAAAAAAAAAACAAAAAAACACTTTCATGTTCAAAGGGAGCCATAGGGAGGTGGGGGGCGGAATCAATGTCCTAGCTATATGAATTTGGTGGTGAGATGCAAATGGGATGTCAGGCAAATCACTATTTCATATTAAAGAAAACATGATTAGGTTAACCCTAGCCCCCTCTGGTTCACAGGCCTTTGAAGAAAGAACGTGAAGACAATGTTTTTTTCATTGAGCCTTGTTTAACTTGAAAACTGTTTTAAGTCAATTCCCATTTCTTTCTTTCTTTTTTTCCCCCTTTTTAGGTGAGAGGGGAAAAAAAAAAAAAAAAGATGTACCCAGAAATGCCTATCTGCTATTTAAAACAAGTATCTAAGTATATATTTCTTCCTATTCATATACATGTGAAAACTTCCCAGCAGGTTATTCATCATTTCGACATTTAGGGAAGCACAGAAAATGAAAACCTGGACCCCTCTGAGAAGTTGCCGTCACCATGGTATCTACCTCTCTCATAGATGTAGTGTGACGGATAAAACACACACACACACTCAAATCTGACCTCGCCAGGTCCGTTAGTCCTAAAGTCACAAAAAGGGGGCCTTACATGCTTCTCCTGCGGTAGAAAGACCAGAGTCCTTACTGCCTCTTTTTGATGAAAGAAAGTCAGAAGAAGTAGCCTTCATTCAGCACATTAGAAGGAGAAACCCTTCAGTTATTAGAACTGTCTGAAAATACCAAGCCCAAGGCTGGAAAGGATGTCCTTCCGGTCCGGAGACTTTGTGATGCTGTGTCTCTATGAACAGATGCCGGCAGGTGGTGGGCCTGGGATTGTCAGTTCCGGGACATCTGAAGGGCCCTGCTGTGTTAAGAGCCTGCCTCAAGAGGTCCCGCTGCCGACCACTCTGCTGACCCACTCTTGCCTGAGGGAAAGGGGCTGGAGAAAGCCCAGCAGAGGGGCCAGAGGGGACAACAGCCTTGACAGAATGTTGGTTCTCTGTGATTTTGTTTTCAGATGTAAAGAAAATTTGAATCAGGCAGCTGCTGGGATGTTCTCACTTGGGTGTCCCACAAGAATATCTGAGTCTAAAAGAGACTGAACTGAAGTCATTGTTCTCTCACCAAAATGCCTCCAACTCCTTCTGGATTCCAAACTCAATAAATGAATTTCCATCTGTCCAAGTGCCTGAGTCAGACTCCCAGTGGTCCCTCCTTTATTCCCAGAACCTGGTCCATTCCAGACACTTTTATAACTGACCTCCTCTTCCCAACTCCACTTCCACTCCAATTCTCAGAGCCTTTGCCCTCCTTCAGGCCTACTCATCTCTCAGCCAGACAGCTGTGACCGTCTTCTGTGATGATATGAAACCTCACACACCCCATCGCAGTGTGTATTTATCTCTCCTAGAAACACAGGATGTGGCACCGTAGGATAAGCACTCATACTCAAGGTCAGTGGTTCAAACTCACCAGCCACTCCTTGGAAACCCTTTACAGGGTTGCTATGAGTCAGAACCAACTCGATGGCTCACAGCAACAACAACAACATAGACTTTCAGGGAAAGCCTTCCAGAAGCTCACCATCTCTGGAGAAGGCATAATTTGTGCCAGGCATTTATAGAAAATGTTTTCATCTTGAGGCTGGAAAAACAGTCTTCTCCAATCTCTGAACTTTAAAGAGTCCTGGTGTGGCACTGTGGGATAAGCTAACTGCAAGGTCAACAGTTCAAACCCAACAGTTACTCCTCAGAAACCCTATACAGGGGAGTTGCTATGGGCCCAGGGGTGGAGCCCAGGTTGAAGATGAATAAAATTCACCTTGTAAAGTCAGGATCTCTCCATCCATGACTCACTGTTCATTTATTGTCCATCATAACCAACAAGAATATCGATCACATGTTCACGTGTTCCTAGTGCTGCCATAACAAAATACCACAAGGTATTTCTTCAAATAACAGAAATTTATTTTCTCACTGTCCTGGAGGCTAAAAGTCCAAACCAGGTTTTTAGCCATGTCAGTTCTCCA